GTTTAGACCTGGTTTACCTGGGTTACTGGTTAGTTCTGGTTTAGTTTAGTTTAGACCTGGTTTTAGTCTTGGTTTAGACCTGGTTTGGACCATGGTTTAGACCTGGTTTTCAATCCTGGGTTAGTTCTGGTTTAGTCCTGGTTTAGTCCTAGTTTAGATCTGGTTTTAGACCTGGTTTAGACCTGGTTTGGACCTGGTTTAGTCCTGGTTTAGACCTGGTTTAGACCTGGTTTAGACCTGGTTTAGACCTGGTTTAGACCTGGTTTTAGACCTGATTTAGTGTCTGGCAATGAGTGGAATTACAGAAAAAAAAGAAAAGAAAAAGGGATATAGCCTCAAATGTGAAAACAGGAAAATCCCGCCGTGTAATCCATTTATTTCAACAAAGTAACTGTAATCCAATTACCACTCACTGAAACAGTAACTGTAACTGAATACAGTTACTCATAATTTGTACTCTGATTACTTAACTTCGGTACATGTAATCTGTTACTCCCCAACACTGCATGTAGGTGCCGTAAAGTCATGGAGAATTAACTTTAGCTCATGAAAAAGTCATGGAAAAGTTTTGACATTTATCGGTGAAGAAGAGAAGAGGGAACCTGCGTGGAAGCATGAAGCCGTTAAACCCAGTTAAACCGGCTCGTCTGCATTGCTAGTCAAAATGACAGGACCTGGATGATAATTTTCCCTTTTAAATTCAGTCATGAATAAAGAACGAGTTGCGCTGACAGTTGACGAAACGCCTTCCCCCGACATTTTCACCAGCAACCTGAAAATGATCTGGAACCTATGGACTACTATTGTACTACTGCTATGGCAAGAGTAGTAGTTTAAAAAATAAAAAATAAACCACACGCTCGAACTTCAGTTGATGTGATTGTCTGTAAAAAATTAAAATAAAAAAAAAAAAAAAACATGCTCGAACTTCAGTTGATGTGATTGTCTGTAAAAAATAAATAATTTTTAAAAAAAAAGAAAAAAACATGCTCGAACATCAGTTGATGTGATTGTCTGTAAAAAAAATTAATTAATTAAAAAAAAAAAAAAAAAAAAAAAACATGCTCGATTTTCAGTTGATGTGATTGTCTGCAAAAAATAAAAAAAAATAAAAAAAATAAAAAACATGCTCGAACTTCAGTTGATGTGATTGTCTGTAAAAAAAAAATTTATTAAATTAAAAAAAAAAAAAAAAAAAACATGTTCGAATTCAGTTGATGTGATTGTCTGTAAAAAATAAAATAAATAAAAAAAAAAAAACATGCTCGAAATTCAGTTGATGTGATTGTCTGTAAAAAATAAATAAATAAATAAAAAAAAAAAAAACATGCTCGAACTTCAGTTGATGTGATTGTCTGTAAAAAAAATTAATTAATTAAAAAAAAAAAAAAAAAAAAAAAAAAAAAGATGCTCGATTTTCAGTTGATGTGATTGTCTGTTAAAAATTTTAAAAAATTAAAAAATAAAAACATGCTCGAACTTCAGTTGATGTGATTGTCTGTAAAAAAATTTTATTAATTAAAAAAAAAAAAAAAAAAAAAAAACATGCTCGATTTTCAGTTGATGTGATTGTCTGTAAAAAAAAAAAAAAAAAAAAACATGTTCGAAATTCAGTTGATGTGATTGTCTGTAAAAAATAAATAAATAAAAAAAAAAAAACATGCTCGAACTTCAGTTGATGTGATTGTCTGTAAAAAATAAATAAATTAAAAAAAAAAGAAAAAAACATGCTCGAACATCAGTTGATGTGATTGTCTATAAAAAAAAATTAATTAATTAAAAAAAAAATTAAAAAAAAAAACATGCTCGATTTTCAGTTGATGTGATTGTCTGTAAAAAATAAAAAAAAATAAAAAAAATAAAAACATGCTTGAACTTCAGTTGATGTGATTGTCTGTAAAAAAAAATTTATTAATTTAAAAAAAAAACAAAAAAAAACATGTTCGAAATTCAGTTGATGTGATTGTCTGTAAAAAATAAATAAAAAAAAAATAAAAAAATAAAAAACATGCTCGAACTTCAGTTGATGTGATTGTAAAAAATAAATTAATTTTAAAAAAATAAAAAATTTAAAAAAAACTGAAATTTGTACTGTCCATTGAACGCTGTCATGAAGGTCTCAAAAATCCACAAATAAATGCAGAGATCATCACAGAAAAAAACAAAAAAACAAAAACATGATATATACAGTCTTGACTTGATCAGCAAATTAGTGGTGCTGTAAAATCTAGTTTTTTCCAGCTAAGACATCTGGCCAAAATGAAGCCTATTTTATCAACGCAACACTTCGAAACGGTCATACATGCATTATATTACAGAAATAGTTTCCTTTCATTTTGAAGTAATATGAAAGTATTCGGAAGAAAAAGCTGACAAATTATACAAAATCATGCACCTTCTACTTGCTTGCACAATTTTCCCTCCGTTACCATGACCTTTCTTAATAAAAAATCTCATGAGTCAAAAAGTAAGAGGTTTTTCGACCTAATCTTGTACCATATGGTAGAAAACTATATGAAGCAAATATTCAAACCAGTTTGTTAAGGATATGTAAGTGAGAACCAAGAGTTATCACTGTTTGGATTTATTGCCCAAAAAGTGCTGCATATTTCATTCCCTCCTGTTACCAACATGATTTTTTAATTTTTTGTCAACAACTTGAAAGAATATCACAGGTTTAACTTGACCCTGTTGGAGTGTAACTCTTTCCTACATTCTGATACTTTACTTATTTCAATAGTCCCTCTAGTTTCTGAATAAGAGACATTTGAATGTAAAAAAACTGCCCGTTTCCCTCCGTTACCGCTTCACTGGACTCTGCTATAATTAAGAAATATTTGTATGTGAAAAATACTGAGCTCAGAATTGACCTTTGACTCTTATTTGTCAGTTTCTGTTCTCTACTTTTGTATCATGAGTCAAAAATAAATAGTTGTGCAAAGACAAAAGGCAGAAACTGTAACATGATCATTATTTGCTTTTTGATTTTCTCCAGACTTCCATCATTATAAGAAAAAAATTAAAAGCACCAAGGTCGAGTCATTGTGTTTGAGTTTGTTTGAAATGAACAGAGGAGACAATCTGTGTATCATTTCATTTCAAAATAAAACTAAAAATGAGATAATGAAAAAGCAACTGTTTTCTTCATTATTTGTCTCCAAAATCAAAATGAACAAAACAGATAAAGATTAGTTTTTTCAGTTTTCGATTTTAGGTTTAAATGAAAAATGGAAAAAACGGATATTGGCTGTTTCCTGTTTATGTGACTTCAACTGTGATACAGGACTAAAACCGGACTAAACCAGGACTGAACCAGGACTGAACCAGGACTAAAACAGGACTGAACCAGGACTAAAACCGGACTAAACCAGGACTGAACCAGGACTAAAACAGGACTAAAACAGGATTAAAACAGGACTAAAACAGGTCTAAACCAGGACTAAAGCAGGACTAAACCAGCACTAAAACAGGATTAAAAAAGGACTAAAATAGGTTTAAATCAGGACTGAACCAAAACTATAACAGGTCTAAACCAGGACTACACCAGGACTAAAACAGGATTAAAACAGGACTAAACCAGGACTAAATCAGGACTAAACCAGGACTGAACCAGGATTAAAACAGGACTAAACCAGGACTAAACCAGAACATATCAGGGACTAGAACAGATCTAAACCAGGTCTAAAACAGGTCTAAATCAGGACTGAACCAGAATTAAAACAAGTCTAAACCAGCATTAAACTGGGACTGAACCAGGACTAAACCAAGACTAAACTAAGACTAAACCATGTCTAAACCAGGACTAAAATGGGACTAAAACAGGTCTAAAACAGGACTAAACCAGAACTGAACCAGGACAAAACCAAGACTAAACTAGGACTAAATCATGTCTAAACTAGGACTAAAATAGGACTAAAACAGGTCTAAACCAGGATTAAACCAGGACTAAAACAGGTCTAAACCAGGACTAAACCGATGTCTGGTTTAATCCTGGTTCAGTTCTGGTTTAGTCCTGGTTTATGACTGAGAGAGGCATAAACTTGTAATTTACAAACATAGAGAAAAGCTGCTTAAAAATGACCAAAATACTAAGAAAATGTGACTATATATATATATTTGACTATATATATATATATTTCACAGTTTTATTATTACCAACCACCACAAACCAGTGATGTTTCATTTTTTATTTTGAAAATCTGGTCACCCTGATATTTATCCTACCAACAAACCAATTAGAACAATATAAACATGCACTTTAACGTCAGTATCGTCTTTTTAGATTTATGTTACACTATTTATATCTAATACAAAATTCCCAAATTCTAATAATCTTTTCTTATTTTTCTTAAGTTTTTATTTATGTTTTAAATATATAATTATATTTATTTGAACATAAAGAGGATACATAAACATAAACACACGCTAGGGGGCGTTGTAATATAAAAAAAAAAAAGCACGTGGAGCACTTTATCAAAACAGCAGGAATTTGGCAAACAGATAGGAGGTGCTATCGCTGTTTTCCGATTTTCTAATGCGGTCAGAGAACTATAATACAATTTAAACTCGCTAATAAAACAAAAAAAAATGCGGGTTTATTCCTTTAAAATTGTATTTCGCCAAAAGCAAAACAAAAATTTCTGTTGAAGAATCCAAATTGTAATAAAATAAAACGTGACAAGTCTTTTCACTTTTAGATTTAGCCAGCTTCAAGATTTGAGAGTGGAGGCATTGAAAAAAAAGGGGAAAAAAATTATCCAAAGATTCATCCAAAAAAAAAAAAAAAATAAAATAAAAATCTAAAATTCAACCTCAAATTTACGTCTTTTTTACGCACGAGGTAGAAACTGTTTATAATTTTACACGGATAAAGCTATAACTTGACACATTTAGATTATGTTTTCATTTTTGTGGACTTTTTTTTTTCTCTTTTTCCTAAGTTATTTTGGGCCGCGGCACAGTTTATATTCCGTTTCCGGTGCGCACTCGGAGGCAGCGGCTGGAGGTCCGAGTACAACAATGAACGTCAGCAGCAGCGGCGGCGGCGGCGTGCGTCCTGCGTGCGCTCCGTACTTGGGTTAAAGTTTATTCCCGAACCAAACCGCGCCGCTACATCTCTACATGCGCTCGTGGGGTGAGTGCCGAGCTTCCAGACACTTGCACGGACATGTCACGAGTCTTAGACTTTGAGGAAAATAAAGCGAAACAGACTCGGAAATCACGACGCACGCTGTTGGTCTGCGTCTCCGCTACCCCCCCAATTGTTCAAGAAAGACATGAAAACTGATGAAAACTGGTTAAATTCGCGGTTCTGTTTTGATTCTCGGTGTGTTATTTGCATGAACACGTGGTGGTTTGGCGATGCGAAGGATTACGAAGCGTTTTTTTTTTCACGTGGTTTTCGTTTTGCCGACAGAGGTGTCCTGAGCTCGGGGTTAAATGGAGCTGGAGGACCAATGGTGGAAGGGACAGCTCGCAGCGGACATCTACCAGGCACTACGGTACAAAGTGAGTAAAAGTACAACAAAGTACAATGATCTGCTCAAGTATAGGTGACCAGATTTTCAAAATAAAAAACTGGTTGGTATGGAGGTACTTTTGTCTCATTAATATTCACAAATACACAGATGATGATCAAATAGTCATTGGTTTGTGCGTGTGTTTTTATATCCACTAAAACAAGTTTAGTATTTGTAACTTGTGTTTTGGTATTTACAAATAGATGTGTATTTGTAAATATATCTTTTTTCATTTGCAAAAAAATTATTTCATTTGTAAAACTGAAAATTCTGTTTGTAAAATGTGATTTGCATTTGTGGATCAGAAGTTACACGAATTCACGGATTTCTGGTATGACGTAATTTTACTCATTTTGAGAGATCCACAAACTCGGACAAACTCGGACAGATGCACAAACTCGGACAGAAACTTTCGACAAACTCGGACAGATACAAACTCACAATCGGACAGATCCACAAACTCGGACAGATCCACAAACTCGACAGATCGGACAATCACAAACTCGGACAGATTCGGACAGATCCACAAACTCGGACAGACTCGGACAGATCCACAAACTCGGACAGATCCACAAACTCGGACAAACTCGGACAGATCCACAAACTCGGACAAACTCGGACAGATCCACAAACTCGGACAGATCCAAACTCGGACAGATCCACAAACTCGGACAAACTCGGACAGATCGGACGATCCACAAACTCGGACAAACTCGGACAGATCCACAAACTCGGACAAACTCGGACAGATCCACAAACTCGGACAGATTCGGACAGATCCACAAACTCGGACAGATCCACAAACTCGGACAGATTCGGACAGATCCACAAACTCGGACAGATCCACAAACTCGGACAGACTCGGACAGATCCACAAACTCGGACAGATCGGACAGACACAACTCGGACAGATCGGACAGATCCACAACTCGGACAGATCGGACAGATCCACAAACTCGGACAGATCCACAAACTCGGACAGATCCACAAACTCGGACAGATCCACAAACTCGGACAGATCCACAAACTCGGACAGATCCACAAACTCGGACAGATCCACAGATTCGGACAGATTTGGACAGATCCACAAACTCGGACAGATTCGGACAGATCCACAAACCCCGAGACAGATCCGCCAACACAGACACAAATGGAGACACCTGGGACATTTTTTGTATAAAACTGGGATAAATAACTGGTTTTGGGATAAATCTGCTGGGACAAGGGACACAGGGCTCAAAACTGGGATTGTCCCAGGTAGGGATGTGACGATATCCAAGTCTCACGATACGATATTATCACGATATGAACCTCACGGTATGATATTTATTACGATATGGTTGGGAAGCTATATTATATTATACATAACAAGACTGACATTATAAAATGTTTTTACCAGTCATTTGGTACAACATTTATTGTCATATTCTAGGGATGTTACGATATCGTAAGTCTCACAATACGATATTATCACGCTGTGCATCTCACATTACGATATTTATTGTGATATTTTGAGGCTAATGATTAAAGATGGGACACTTTTTTGCTTTTAAAATACCTTGACAAGTTTTGGTGTGAATTATTACCAACATAATCCCAAGACTTCAAGTAAAAAACTTATTTCTTCATGTTGTCTGCACTGAAATGAATCATGGGATATGTAGTTTCCGATGTTCATAAGATGTTGCAACTATAAAACCATGCATTTAAGCAAAGGAACTTGTGATTCCATATATTATGACAGCCCACGATATTATTGTGAGACTTTTGACGATACGATATCACAATTTTTCTTTTAGTGTTACATCCCAATTCCCGGGTAAATAGGGACGTCTGGTCACCTCAAGTATGATCTTATATTGTTAATGCGCCCATCGCCAGTGTTTTCTAAAACTGTCTAGTCGTCTAGGACTCGTACCTTACTCCTCCTGGTGTCAAGAAGTGGTAGTTTTGGCATTATGCGTTCAAGTTTGTTTGTTTTTTAATTTACATTTTGTCTCTCTTATGTATACAGAAAGTCGTAAGTGAAATTGTAAATGCAAACTTGCTGTTCATCTGCTGCTTTTCTTTCTTGGCATTCTGACATTGTTTAATAGTGTTTGGTAGGGATGTAACGATATAAAAGTCTCACGATACGATATCAGAACGGTATGAACCTCACAGTAAAATATTTATTGATATATCGTGGGAAAGCTCACGATATGATTGGGAGGCTCATGATTAGGGATGTAACAATATCCAAATGTCTCGGTACAATATTTTCATGAAATACTTCTCACGGTACGATTTTATTATTGATATTTAGTGGAGGCTTATGCTACTTTTTGCTCTTAAAATCCTTAATCGAAAGAAATAAGACTTAAAAGTGTTTAGAACTGTTATTTCTTCTTGTCGTCTGCACTGAAATGGAGCAAAGGATCATGGTCTATGTAGTTCCCTCTGTCTTTTTTTTTAGCTTGTTGCACCATAACTCTTAATTTAATCAAAGAGACTTAATAATTCGATCTATTGTGATGGTCCACGATATTATTGTGAGAACTTTGACGATACGATATCACGATATTTTTGGTTATTGTTACATCCCTTTTATTTCAGCTTAAACGCTTTCGGTCATGATCCATGGGGTTGTAGTTTGTGGTGTGTAAAAATATCGAAATACTGTATCGTCACATTAAAAGATACGATATCGATATCATGGGCCACTGTATTGATTCATCGCCAAGAGTATTTTTTGGTATATTTTACTGCTTTGCTTTTTTAGTGGAAGGAAACTAATTTATGTGACACATTTGACATTTTCACTGTTTTGATGATTAAAATGTTTGTGTTTCATATGAATTTTGCACAAGAAGTGGTTTAACAAAGACTTTTAGTATCACAGCCATGATTTAGGCAATATTTTTTTATTGAAACGTATCGAATCAATTAGAAATATATCGTATCAAATCGAAAGTGCACTGTATCGAGGTATGTATCGTATCGGCAACTTCTTAATGACACCCAGCCCTAGTTGTAGTCCATGTTTTGTTTTGTTTTGATTTTGTAGTGCTGCAAAATGACAGAATAAACCACTACTTTATATTTATTTTATGTTTCAAGTTAACGGCTACTGTACCTTTTACGTTTAGTTCCACAGAGATTGATAATAACCAGGGATAAACTCACACCAAATGTTTATCGTGCCAGAGTTTTAAAAGAGTTTAAAAACACAGTTGAACACTTTGGAGTTAATTTTGGCAAGAAACAGAACAGTGACTTTTTAATTTACGTTTAATAGTCGTGTTAAAGTCCTCATTTGAGTCGTGTCTGTAGTAGAAGTTTGCGTCTGTCTGGTGCCACAAGGTTAGTCTGAAATTCCTCTGGGTGAAATATGTCTGGAATGCCCTCATGTTTGGAGCTTGTAATTGTGTTTTGAGGAAGGATAATGATGGCGTGTTCCGAACTATCGAGCCGTGCGTCCAGTACAGCAGCTTTCTGTGTAAGGACCGTTTCTCTAAACTACAAAACGCTGAGATAATCGTGATTAAAACTAGAGGTACTGAGTTGTGTTTCTTTTTACTCATTTTTGATTTCATGTTTCTTTTAAGTAATGTAAAACAGGGGTGTGCATTGCCTTGAGTCTGACGATACGATACATTATCACGATTTGCATATCACAATTCAATATATCACGATATATTTCAATATTAAAACAGTGGATCATATATTGAGATTTATCAATGATTACTTCTAATAATACAGTCAACTACACCTTCACGAGAACACAATTGTATGAAATATAATTTATAAACTTTTTAAAATCATGAGAACAATTAATTAACCAGTGAATTTTTATGAAAAATATTACTTCAAATGGATCTGAATCGATTTTTTTTTTTTTTTTTTTAAGTGATTCGAGAATTGTGCAATGAAGTATCACGATATTTCACTGAATAGATTTTTTCTTACACCCCTAATGAAAAATGACATTTCGCCCCAAAGATTTTGAATTGTGTGACTGAAACCTGTTAAAAGAACAATATATATATATAAGATTTTGTTTTTAAATTTCATAAACATTACCTAACTTTGTGCCCAAATGAGGTAGACTTGTTCAAATCAAATATTGCTCTTACTCAGAACAATTGTAATGATGATTTATTCTTAATTTCATGTTTTAATTTGGTGTTTTGGGTTTGCCACTTTGACAGTTCTCCAAAAGTCTGTGTTCACGTTTTAGCGGAAGACTTTTGGAAACATGCCGATGACGACTTCCGGTGTAGTTCCCGACACTGGGCTCTTGATAAAACTGTGGATTCAGCAGCAGCGTCTTCACAGACCAAGAGTTTGTTTTCATACTTGACAGTTTCGTCTGCTCCCTGTGGTCTTCCTCAGAGTCACGTGATGTTGCTGTGACATGTCGCTTAGCTGATTTGTACAAGTTTTGGCGCTGTTTTTCTACCGGTGGAGGCAGGACGAAACTGTCAGGTATGAAAACAAACTCTTGGTCTGAAAAAAGAACCTGATAACATAAATTATCAGAATACCAAATGAACCTCATTGGACTCGCGTCTTTACAACCTGTGGAAGTTTTCCGTGGGGGATGTGACTTTAATCGTGTCTTCGATGTCACTCACAGGCAGCTGGTTGTAAATGTTGATCCGCCGAAACGCTACAGCAACATCAATTTTTTTAATGAAGTTAGACAAATCATAATGCACACATTAAAGGTTGTATGGAGGATTTTTTTTTTTTGTTTCAAACTGTCAGTCAAAGATTAAAATACCATTACAGAGACGCAGCAGCTTTGTAATTATGATGACCAAAAAAAAAAGAACGAAAATCTATCAACTGTGGACGTGTTGAGGCCAGATAAACATCAGCCAATGGAAAACGAGGCTCCCTCATTTTCTATTGGCTGTTAGGTTGTCAATCAAACTCCCTAGTATAACTGATTCGTCAGAGCGCGGGGATTACGTGGTTTACGCAGCGGTTCTTAGAGGCTTTTTCGAACTGTCGCTTCCTCGCATTTCGCACAAAGTTTGTCGCGATGGCGGACGAGAATCCACGACCGGTTCGCCGCAAAAGAAAGTCCGTTTTTGAGGTCGCTGAAAGAAGACCGAAGCAGACGAAGGGTCTAAAAACTGACGCGTCGGTCGCTGAATTACTTCTAGACAGGTCACTTAAACATTAATTCTGAATGCGCACAAGGACTGTCGCTGTATTTCTCTTCCCTTAAAAAAATCCTCTATACAACCTTTAATATCCAATTTATAAAAGGGTCATTCCACGCCAAATCTCTGAATGCCCCTACTCGACTATTTCAGATTTGACTGAAAAAATTCTCCGAGGTTCACACTTTCCAGTAAGAAAAGTCCCAGATTTTAGCTCCCAACTCCTACCTTTTAAATAGTGTTTTAGATGCAACAATCTGAAAGTGTCTCCTCAGAAAACTGGTCAAAACAGGTCAGGGGGGAGTTGACGAAATATTTTTTAATGACAAAAGGAGTTGGGAGCTTAAATTTGGGACTTTTCCGAACATAACAGAACGCTACAATGACATCTTTGTTTTTAATGAAGTTAGACAAATTATAATACACAAATTAATATCCAATTTATAAAAGGGTCATTCCAGGGCAAATCTCTGAATGTCCTGCTCGATCATCTCAGATCTGACTGGAAAAATTCTAGTTCACACACTTTCCAGGAACGAAAAATCCCAAATTTTTGCTTCAACGCTCAACTTAATTTTTTAGATAAAGAAATCTGAAAGTGGCTCCTCGGAAAACTGCTCAAAACAGATCGGGGGGAGTTGACGAAATTTTTTTTTTATAATAATATGTAATAATTAATGAAGTTTGACAAATTATAATACACAAATTAATAGGCATTTTATAAAAGCTTCATTCCACGCTAAATCTCTGAATCCCCCTGCTCGACCATCTCAGATTTGACTGAAAAAATTCTAGGAGGTTCACACACTTTCCTGTAAGAAAAGTCCCAAATTTTAGCTCCCAACTCCTCATAGTTTTGTCATTAAAAATATTTTGTCAGCTCTCCCCTGACCTGTTTTCAGCAGAGTTGAAAATTTGAAGGACCGACCTTAAATCGTTTTGGTTGGCTCCTCGGAAAACTGAGATGGTCGAGCGGGGGCATTCGGAGTTTTGGCGTGGAATGACCAGAAAGAAAAAGAAAAAAAAAAGAATACAATAACATCTAGATGAAGAAAACTGGGCCATTTTGTCAGAGTTACTCACGTCAACAGAGCCCAAAGAAGTCACCATCCGCATGTTTCCAAACTTCTTCCGGTACCAAGTAGGTAGCGGACACTCCTTAATCTTATAAATCTTATAATTTCGTTCAAAATGATGAGTAACCAGTGAATTTCGTTTCACATGTGTCACTGAAAAAAACAAAAAAAAAATCTGCACGGTGACCAGACTGAACCTCCTTTGTATGAAAAATAATTTGGAAGTTACGAAGCAAGATTTGGACTGCAAAATGAACTCCCAAAATGCTGAAATACAAAGTTTCATTGCAAGTTTTTTTTTTTCTTTTTGTCTCATTTCGCATAGTTTGTTGTAACAGTATTTTCATCTTCTTAGGAGCTGAAGCTGCCTGCGTTCAAAGGCCAGTCTCCTCAGCTGAGTCTGCGGCGGTACTTCGCGGACCTCATCGCCATCGTCAGTAACAGGTTCAAACTCTGCCCCACGGCGCGACATCTGGCCGTTTACCTCCTGGACCTCTTCATGGACCGATACGACGTCACGGTGCAGCAGCTACACATGGTCTCCCTCTCCTGTCTGCTCCTCGCCAGTAAGACCTCAGGCTTTAATAATGATTGAGAAAAGTGTCATTACTGAAACATTTTGCCTTGGTATGTTGGATGCTGGCCTTGTCGTAGTCAGACTTAAAGGTGCACGATGTAGCTTTTGTCAGAAAAGTTAAGGCTACGATTTTTTTGCGAGGTCGTTGACATTTCCAATTAAATGCGACTTGTATGTGATCTCCAGTGTGAACTTTAAACGCCTTAACTCTTTCCCCCATGAAGACGACATTTGACGACCCCCCTGAACCCTTAATGACGACTTTTGACTCCTCCGCTGTATCACTAAAGACGAGATTTGACGACCTTTAGAAATGGCTCGGGTTTTCACATTTAAACAGAGACTGTGATCGGTGGGGGCCACTACAACCCACACTAGACTGACCAATAGGATTCAAGGATATGTTTTCGACGATTTTTTCCGAAGTTAATCGAAATAGTGACGATGGTAGCTTCCGGAAAAAACACAACACGAAACACGTGCAATGGAAAGATCGCGGCGCTGCGGCGCACAGTTTTAGAAATAATGAGGAGCAGACGTATTTTATGGATAAGTTTAGAGAAAGTGACTTTTATAGATTTCAAAGTGATGATGTTGAAGTTGATTATAAAGTGGAAAACAGCGACAGCGACGGACTTTCGGGGAGAAGATGAGAATGTCGCTGATGCGTCTGTGTGGAGTCCTGCAATGTCCCAACAAACTATCTGAGCTTTATACTCGATTATGAACCAAAATTGCCCTGAAATCTGGATGTTGCCCAGGCCAGTCCTTTAAAATATTTCAGTCTTTTTTTCCAAGATGCGATGTATAACAGAATCGCTACAGAAAAAAACGCTTATGTGGAGCTCTGCACACGAGAAAATAACCAAGATGACAAATACTGGACACACACTGACGGGGAAGAGTTTTATTATTATATTATTATATTATTATATTATAATAAGCTGAATTAGTTGAATAAGCTAAATGAGTTGAATAAATAAAATAAGTTGAATAAGTTAAATGAGTTGAATAAGTTAAATGGAAAAAAATTAATTGGGTGCACACAGGTGTACAACAGGTAAAAACAGGTGCACACTTGGCTATACTGTATCTGGTGATATGAAATCTGTTTAAATACTTTGACAAAGTATATTTTTTTTTTTTATGAATATAGTACTCAGAACATGCAGATATCAAATGCTGAATGTAGTTTTTTTGTTTTCGATTTTGCACCTGACCAGGTAAACTCTCATTTTCAGTGAGCTGTTATACACCTATAAATGAGTTGAATCACATTTAAACATCCATAAATGAATAGTTCAGAGTCTAAGGTTTCCAGAGATACAAATATGTCTGTGTTACAATTAAGTTCATGAGTGTAAAAATCATTTATAATCACTCGTGGAAGTCTGTTTTCTTTTATGCAATTATGCTCTATGGGTGTAGCCCTAGTAACATATGTATGGGTTGTTCCTAGTAGGCGTCCAGGGGGGAAAGAGTTAAGAGTGTCCTGCATGAGCATTGGAGGACACAACGACGTCTCAAGCAGCGACCGCGCTCAGTGTTTACGGAAGTCGCCTAAACGCTGGGCTTGTCTCCCAAAATACGAACCAGTTCTTTGTAAAATGGACAGGTTACACGTCCGCGGTCACTTCGTTTGTTTGAGTCTTTAGCCTTCTTGTGTTTATTTCGTAGGCTCTTTATTTTTTGTTGACATTGGAGCCAGGACCGACTGTAGCCGCGCTCGGACATTTCTTTGGCGATCATTTCAAAAAACGCCCAGTTCCGATAAGATGCGTCCAATTTGGCATGAATACAGTGATTCCTCCAAATATTAAATCACTAACCTCGCTTTCCCTCCATTGACGAGACTCCGAGCCTGACGTGTAGGTGGGATGAATGTGACCTGACCGTTCAGACTAAAGTCGCATGTCAAAAGATCGGATATGTATCTGTTTCAGGAGCACATATCCAAGTGTCCTGGGTCACATTTGGAAAAATCGTTCAGACTGTCATTAAAAGATCAGATACGGGAGCGTAGGGGCGAAAAAATTGGATTTGGGTCACTTCACTCTGCAGTCTGAACGCAGCCTAAGAAGGTCACATGGAAAAAGGGCATGACTAAAGCAAGAGTGCCTGTTTTAGTAATGCAATATGCAAGTGATATCAGTTTCAAGCCATACTGTGCAACAAGTGACAAGAAGATGGTGAAATAACGTTTGTGGGGGTAACAAAACCCTCGACCTGAAAAGTTTTACTTACTGCATCTTTAATAGTGTCCATCTTTGTCAGTGTCATGCCCCTACAGCCATAGCGTGACTTTTATGATTGTATGAATGTAGAGAATGACAATATAGTTAGTTAATTGTCCCGACAGAATTATTATTATTTTTTTATTTAAAGAAGGAACACCATTTCACAGGACACACATCACAACACAAAGAAGACACAACACAAGCTTTTAATGCATCACTTGAAGAGAACAGTGCAGGAGAGCAGGCTGGATGATACTGTTGTATAAAGTGAGAAGTAGATGTGGCGAAACTTCTTTGATTTTGACTTCTCACTTCTTCTTTGATCGCATCTTTTTTGAATGTCCATGTACACCATCAGCCTTTATTTTTACTACTTTTAACATTCTACTAGTATACAGAAGATATATGGAATTATGCAGCAAAAAGTTAAATAACTATTTTCTGATAAACCAAAGGGCTAATTTGAAGATTTGAGTATAAAATATTTTTTTAAAATGTCACTAAACTTTTTTTCTTTCCTACGTAATTCCATATATCTTACCTCAGATATCTGGCATATCATGGGTGTATATAAAATGTAGAAAGTAGTACAAAAAAAACTTGCGTCAAAGCTGAGTTTATTGTGAATTATGAGTCCAAAATATTTCAATTGTTCAACAGTGATTTTTGTAATATTTAAGCCTGTCCAGGTTAGATCCACTAACTGTTCATTATAAGCTAGAACAATATATTTTTGAGGTAAATATTTATTGTGTGTACATTTACTTTGCTCTCCTGGGAGGTTTTGGTTATATTTCTGTTCTGTTTTTCAGATCAGATTTGAGTTAACCACATTCATGACTCATTACAGCCGCAAACTAAGAACTAAAGTGTTTCATTCTGCTGTTTATCTGCGGCAGCTCGTGATTTTCAACATAGTTTTTTGTGATTTAAATGTGCTTTTGGGTTTTTGTGTCAGGATCGTACTTCAAAACTTGATATCGTGACAGGCCTGGTAATATTGTTGATGATGGTCGGTGCCAAAAGTCATTTCTTGAGTTTTCTTTTCACATTTATCTCCAGGTAAGTTTGAGGAGCGTGAGGACCGCGTGCCAAAGCTGGACTCTCTGAACACTCTGGGCTGTATGACGTCCATGAACCTGGTGCTGACCAGACAGAGCCTCCTGCACATGGAGCTGCTGCTGCTGGAGACGTTTCAGTGGAACCTGTACCTCCCGACCGCCGCCCACTTCATCGACTACTACCTCTCCGTGTGCGTGCACGAGGCCGACCTGCACGACGGCTGGCCCATGACCTGCATCGAAAAAACTCGCCTCTACATGGCCAAGTACGCAGACTACTTCCTCGAGGTGTCCCTGCAAGGTAGAGTCAATATTAACATCTCTGCAAAAGTTTTTCTAGGTAATACAAACGACAAACTGACATTTTGCTTAAGCGCTGAGTCCTCTGTCCGGATTGTCTGGCGATCAGTGTAACTGGTAAAGGCGGGGCCACACCTGGAAGCATGGGGGGCGTGTCCTCCTCTCGCTTCCATTCACTCCCATAGAGAGACGCAAATCTGCCAGAGCTGTACTGTCGCGTTAAACCTTCTTTATCGTGGCGTATTATTTCTCCATTGAAAAATAATCCAAATGCATCCTGAACATGTTCCCATCTAGGGCTGGGTATCACCAAGAAGTTGCCGATACGATACGTACCTCGATACGCAGGCCCCGATACGATACATATCTCGATACAGTGCACTTTCGATACGATTCGATACGATATATTGCAAAACGATTCGATACGATTCAGAAAAAAATAATGGCTTTCAGCCTCTTACTTAATGATCAACACAATTTTTACAAAAAAATTTAACATTAATGGTGCATTTACCTTCCATTTATTGAAGATTAAAGAAAATAAAGTGATTTTTGTTTAATGCATGTTTCTAACTAGAACAATACATACAACTTCAAAAACCTGCAATCTACATTTGCATTGGTCATCATCATTCATAGCTTTTATGAGCTTAACAATAATTTGAAAAATGGCACGTGTAGTTTAACTGATCTAAAGGATATTCTCTGCAGCTGTTCTGTCTGACTCACTGAGGGTGCGCACTTCTTTCTCTGTCTTTCTCACCTCACTTGACGAAAGAGCAGCAGATTTCGCTTGTTGCTGCTCAAGAAATCGTTGGAGCACGTCGTGCGCACTGTTCCACCTGGTCACAACGTCTGCTATCAATGTGTGCTGCGGTAACCGCAGCAGCTTTTGCTTGTGGTGGAGTACGTGGCTGGCTGTGGCGCTGCGCATGAAAAAGTTTGAAATGCGTCTCACGCGACCCAATAGACGTGCGACTACAGGTAGTTTCAAAGCGCACTGTGACGCCAGGTTCAACGTAAATGTAACATGCCCGTGAGCTCCACCGTGACGCTCATATTAGCGGCGTTGTCTGTCACGATAGTCGGGTCTTTTCTAGCGATGTCCCATTCCTCAAGAGCTGCGCTGAGTAGCTCCGCAGTGTTGGTCCCTGTGTGACTTTCATGCATGGCTCTAGTTTGTAAAACATGTGAAATTAGCTCCCAGTGTTCGTTGACAAAATGGCTTGTAATGGTTACGTACGATTCCGTGGCGCGGGACATCCACCCATCACAGGTAAGGGCCACTGTCGGAGCTGCACTTAGACTGGTTTTAACTGCGTCTTTCACCCTCTGGTACATTCGCGGCACCGCCACCTCCGTCAAATGTTTACGTGTGAGAATCATACAACGTTGTGTTTAATGTGTTTACTATGAGACGAAAGCCTGGGTTCTCCACAACACTGTACGGGCAGATATAATGCACGATAATGTCTGTGATCTTAAGTGCACGCGGATAGTTGGAGGATGGTTTACTTATCTGGCTCTCCAACTGGGTTGTTTTGGGTCCATGCTTTTCTTTGGGGGCGGCAAGGCTAGCTTATCTGCATGTGAACTCGGAGGTTGGTCGTATTACCTGAATATTTGATAGCAGTTTGGCAATGCATACATATGGCGCTGGTCTTGTCCACCCCCTGACCATTTTCTTGGGCTTTAAAACCATAATGCGCCCATACGTCTGCTTTTAGAGTAAAAGGCGGTTAAAAATCTTTCCTACCATTTTTCTATTTTCGCTTCTCTTGTGCACTTCTCTTCTCCAGTAAAGACGTGGAAGCGCGGCTATACTGCCCCCCTAACATCCTAAGGGGAATATCGATACTAGAAAACGAAGAATCGATACTGTATCGATTTGAAAAATATCTATGTATCGGTGTATCGATATTTTAGCACACCCCTATTCCCATCAAGACCTGGTTTGAAGTAACAAACGTTTCGCTTTACTGCAGCGCACGAACGCGCTCAACCACTTGATCTGGTCGCTGCTCCAGACGCTCCTATAACAGGTGCCATATCGCTATGTCGTGTAACAAATGAACATGGTCAAACACAAAAATGCTGACAGTGACAATGACAGTGAAGACGCGGACAACCTTAAATGTCCTAAATCCAACTTATTAAACATTTTATTCAACCAAAATATTATGCTAATAAAGTTTACCTAATTCCTAGTAGTTTCAGCCAACTGTATTTTTGTTTCAGTACAAGTACAGTTGATGAATTGTGTGGCATCGTTTCATGGGACATGTCCACACTTGTTCCTGGGCTTTGAGTTTGTTTGTTTTGTCTGGTTCATTTGTGGCTCTGGGATTTAAAAGTGGAACTTGTCTAGTCTTCATTCATTCATGTGGGATTATTAGTGTTTAATGGTGTAATGTTTTCAGAAAGGTCAACAAAAATCCACTTTTAGTCATAGTTTTGGGTAATATATGTAAATTTAGTCATCATATTTTGTTTATTTAATGGGCATGAAAGTATGAATTGACCAAACTTCCCCCTCTTCCTCTTCTCGTCTTGTTCAGATCACGTGTTCCTGTGCTTCGTGCCGTCTCTGGTGGCCGCTGCCTGCGTGGCTTCCTCTCGTCTGGTCCTTCACCTGTCGCCCACCTGGCCCCAGCGCCTGCAGCGGCACACGGGCTACTCCTGGGACAACCTGGTGCCCTGTGCCGAGAAACTGCTCATGTGAGTGTGGACTCCTCGTGGATCAGACCAGTTATTCACAACTTTTATATTTAGCTCAACAGTGAACGCCCAGGATCCAGAAGTACATTTCTCATTTATTTTTTCCCATAGACTTTCCAAAAAATATATACCATATTTTTCAGACTATAAGACGCACTTAAAATCCTTTAAATTTTCTCAAAAGTTGACAGTGTGCCTTATAATCTTTTGTGGTTTATGTATTATCTGGTTGTGTTTACTGACCTCAAACCTATTTTTAAAAATCACTCAAAAATCTGCCAAAATGCTTTAGTACGACTTTGGTAAATTACAAAGCCCAACCTCTTGATGGATTGTTGGAGTCAGGAGCCTCATGGAGTAAGTCCTACAGAAGCTGACCGCAACGAGTGAGCTGTTTTTTTTAGCGCTTATAGTTTATGCAAAGAGTGGGAACCCTGAACATGGCTTAAAGCTCACAAGTTAATTTTGTGTAATATAGGACAGTTTAATGTACCGTATTTTCCGCACTATAGGCGCACTGTCAATGAATGGTCTATTTTCAAACTTTTTCACATATAAACCACACCGGACTATAAGGCGCATTAAACGAAACACAACAGTTAGTAAGTCAGTCAAACTTTATTTAACGCATTCACAATAACACTCAACTTTGTTCAATTGTAACGTGTAAAAAAAAATTACTGTCTGAGAGCGCGTAATTGTTCATGTAGTCACAATAACTCATAATTGTTGAAACAGTTGGGCGATTACGGCGTCCAGCACGTCCACATCCGTCTCGTCATTATCCGAGTCAGTGTGGTTACTGTTCCCTGGAGTTCAGTTCAGTGATGATTCTGGTCTTGGTGAAAGCTCGGACCACAGTTGATCCTGATCCTTCGCCCGGGCGTCCACGATCCGTCGGCAGATCGTGGCGTAAGTCGCTCGGCGCTGTCTCTCTGTCTCGGTGAATGTGTGTTCTCCTTCTCTCATCCACTGCTCCCACGCAGCTCACACTTTCACTTTATAACAGCCTTGAGTTTAAAGTGGGCGTTGTGAGCGTGTCTCTTGACAGGTGCATTTTGATATTAAAAGGAATCACAGTTTGTATTACTCCTGATGCTCCTGACCACGGGAGCCGTAATGCTGCAAGTGGAGCGGCTTTGTAGTTTACTAAAGTCGTAACTTCTTGGGTTCTTTTTAAAGACAATGCAGTAAAGTGTGTTTACCTTGTTGCACGGGGCCGCGTAACTAGTTAGCATGCCGGAGTCTCGTTCGTTATCGGAATTAACCAGACAAATCGCTCCACCAACTAAGAACGGCCATGCACCACCACCCACAGAATCGAGAAAGAGCTATCAATCTGTCAATCCTTTCCGTGTCCTGGCCGGGTGAGGTTTTCCCGTGTTGAGTCAAATTAAGCCGGCAGACTCCAGCATGCTAACTAGTTACGCGGCCCCGTGCAACAAGGTAAACACACTTTACTGCATTGTCTTTAAAAAGAACCCAAGAAGTTAAAGTATATAAGAAGACAAAATGAACATCTTTTGCTTAATTACTAAAGTCGTACTAAGACACCCCCAATAAATTCATATATAAGGCGCGCAGTGGTTTTTTTATGTAATTAAAGGCTTTTAAGTGTGCCCTATAGTGCAGAAAGTACGGTAAAGAAATGCAGAGAAGTGCTCATACAACTGGTGCTAATTAAAACTACTATTGAAACTAGATTTATTACTTATTACAACAGTTATCAACACTACAAAACAGAACAAAAGCTGACCTTTTTTGAATAGTTTTAGCATAGTCTTGATCTAAATAAAAACTAGTATAAGTCCACATGGTAATATTAAAGAAACAACGCTGGTTTTGCCCTGAGCAGAGTTGAACAGGCGGCTTCAGTTCAGACGGTGGTTTGTCTGTGAGTCTGTGAGTTTGACCTAATGCAGGAAGCTCTGTGTCAACAAACAAGGGATTTCTGGAAACATCTGCAGTGGGGATTTTTTTTTTTTTTTTTTTGCGGTTATTTGTTTTATCCAGGTCCTAAGTTCATTTTCAGGACAGAAACACGTCTACATCAGGACTAGACTGACCAAACCAGGACTGTCAGGATAATTAATACATCCACTTATCGCTCAGGTGACAAATGGAACAATAAAAAAAAAAAAAACTAGGTCAGTATTTCTCGTACTAGTAGGAAATATTTGGTTTATTTTGTGTACTACAGTGAGATCTGAGCTGGAACTTCTATGACTCTTTTATAGACGCAAACTAACTACTCAAGTGTATTTATTGGCGTTTTTTTTACAATTTTAAACATTCAGAATACCTTTTTTGAGCTTTTTTTGTTTGTTTGTTTGATTCCAAAAACATCACTTACCGTCTATATTTACTTAAAGAAATATATTTTGCTTTTTACTTTTGTTAGGGCCCAGACAAAGAAAAGGGAAACACGACAACAGCGAAGGTTTAATCGATGTTCGAGCGTTTATTTACAAAAACGACTGATGTGGTTCGTGTGCTGTGGGTGTGAACGAGTGTTTGGTGTGTGTGGGTGATGAAGTGTGTGTGAGAATGAGAGAGAAAGAGAAGAGGGAGAGGGGGAGGGGAGAGAGAGAGCGTGAGAATGGGGGGAGAGAAAGTGGGAGGAAGAGGTAGAGAGCGAGAGTGAAAGAGAGAGAGAGGAGAGGAGAGAAGGAGAGAGAGAGAGAGAGAAGAGAGGAGAAAAGAGAGGGGAGAGAGAAGAGGAGAGGAGAGAGAGGAGAAGAGGGAGAGAAGAGAGAGAGAGAGAGGGAGAGAAAGCAAGAGAGAGGGGAGGAGAAGAGAGAGGAGAGGAGAGGAGAGAGGAGAGAGAAAGCGAGAGAAAGAAGAGAGAGAAAGAGAGAGAGAAGCAGAGAGAAAGAGGAAGAGAGAAGAGAGGAGAGAGAAGAGGGAGAGAGAAGAGAAGAGAGAGGAAGGAGAGCGAAAGAGGAGAAAGAGAGAAGAGAGAAGAGAGAAGGAGAGAAAGAGAGAGAGAGAGAGAGAGAGAGAGGAGGAAAGAGGAGAGAAAGGAGAGAAAGATGAGAGAGAGAGAGAGAAGAGAGAGAGAAGTACGAGAGAAAGTGGGAGGAAGAGGTAGAGAGCGAGAGTGAAAGAGAGGGAGAGGGAGGGAGAGAAAGAGTAGAGAGAGAGAGGGAGAGAGAGAGCGAGGGAGAGAGAAAGGGGGAGATGGAGGGAAAGAGGGAGAGAAAGGGAGACGGCAAGAGAAAGAGAAGAGAGGAGAGAGAAGGAAAGGGGGAGAGAAGCAAGAGAAGGAGAGGGAGCGAAAGAGGAAGAGAGAAGAGAGTGGGAGGGAGAGAGAGAGAAAGAGGGAGAAAGACAGAGACTTTTTAACTTTCAACAATACATTTATGTCACTTATTACATAAAATCCTAAAAAACAATTGAAGAAAATAAAAACAATACTCAATATCCCAAACCCCGCCCCCAAACTACAGATGTGAAATCAACTGCCCCTCCCTCACCGAACACAAACACCTTCTCACCGCCCACGCCGCCTCAAAGTCCTCCACCTGCCCCTGCCGGCGCCTCAGAGTCCTCCACCTGCCCAGCCGGCGCCTCAGAGTCCTCCACCTGCCCCGCCGGCGCCTCCAGAGTCCTCCACCTGCCCCGCCGGCGCCTCCAGAGTCCTCCACCTGCCACAAACCGAGGCGGACATGTGCTTCTTTGTCCTGCGTTGGGCCACAGAAAACTTGGGGCCAAACACCAAGATGAACAAATAACAAAAGAAGAAGAGAAAGAGAGAGAAAGTGAAAGAGAAGAGAAAAACACTGGCTCGTCTTTAAAAGGCTCTGGGCGGAAGTGACACAAAAATGATTCTGAAACACAACAACACAACCAACAGTTATGGAGTAAGAAAGCTTTTAGAAATATTTGTGCGCATAGAATAGAAATCTGTGCATATTTGGGAAATTCGTGCATATTTGGCTGTAGTTGAGCATAAAATAAATATTTGTAAACCCCAGTCCAGTCGTACATAAATTATATTGTGTGTGTTTTATCCATCAGAATACGAACTGAAAAGTTACGACGTCAAGAATCAGATTACAGATTACAGATTACATATCTCAAAATGTAGTTTGTAACGTAATCCATTAAATTACTTAAAGTGAGTAATGTAATCTGAATACTTTGGATTACTTGATTTGCTGTAGAGAAGCAAAGACGAGGAAATCTTCACATATTTTTGTCTGATAAAAGAAAATAAAAAAGCCCAAACTTTACTGAAACAAATACAGAGACACGGTCCACGCAACATGGTTTAGTCCTGTTAAATCCTGCTTTAGTCCTGGTTTAGATCTGGTTTTAGTCCTGGTTTAGATCTGGTTTTAGACCTGGTTTTAGTCCTGGTTTAGTCCTGGTTTAGACCTGGTTAAACCTGATGTACACATGTTTTTAGACCTGGTTTAGATCTGGTTTTGGACCTGTTTTAGACCTGGTTTAGTCCTGGTTAAACCTGGCTTAGACCTGGTTTAGACCTGGTTTTAGACCTGGTTTAGTTCTGGTTAAACCTGGTTTTAGACCTGGTTTTAGACCTGGTTTTAGTCCTGGTTTAGTCCTGGCTTAGACATGGTTTTAGACCTGGTTTAGATCTGGTTTTGGACCTGTTTTAAACCTGGTTTTAGACCTGGTTTTAGACCTGGTTTTAGACCTGGTTTAGACCTGGTTTAGTGTCTGGCAATGAGTGGAATTACCAAAAAAAGGGATATAGCCCGAAATGTGAAAACAGGAAAATACCTCTGTGTAATCCATTTATTTCAACAAAGTAACTGTAATCCTAATTACCACTCACTGAAACAGTAACTGTAACTGATTACAGTTACTCATAATTTGTACTCTGATTACATAACTGATGTTCACTGGTACATGTAATCTGTTACTCCCCACATTCATTTGTTGTGCACGTCTGTTGATGTTTCCACTGGCTCCACTATGTTGACGTATTTTTGACAGTAAAGTCCCGTCTCTGAATTCGTATTCCTCCTGATGAAAGCGTAAATTTTAATTTCCTGATTGTAATTCTTGATGTTGTAACTTTTCAATTCGTATTCTGACGGATAAAATACACACAATGTATTTTATGTACGACTGGACTCATTCGAAAGTTTACGAATATTTATTTTATGCACAACTACAGACAAATATGCCCCAATTTCCCAAACACGCACGGATTTCTTTTCTATGCCCACAAATATTTCTGAAACCTTTCTTACTCCATTCAATAGACAATTAAAAAAAACAGACCTAATGCACAGTCCATTAAACTACTAAGGAATATGGGGAAAATGAAATGTTAGATACTTTACTATAATAGTTCAGCTCTTTGTGTTATTTTTTCCTGGCTGGATTCATGTAACAGGCTATAAACAGACCATGATTTCTAAGCCCACACTGTGTTTTGTTTACTCAGTACAGTGCTGTGCTTCAGTACAGACTGACACACATAGACGCGCAAAAGGATGTGGTTACTCTTCCTCTCTGTTCTCATGTTCCAGCTCACATTCAGCCTCCTCGCATGTGTCGTAAAGACGGGCCAATCCACTCTATAAGTAATATTTAAAATAGATTCTCAAGCAAATAGGTGTTGATATTGACAAAAATCACAAAAATCAATGTCAGAATTATATATTGCTGTATATTTAGTTGTATTTTCACAATGCAGGAGCTCCACAGGGGACTGTACTCTCACCAGTTCTGTTTACCCCTGAGGACTTTGTGGTGTGATGCAGGACTAACCACCTTCAGCTGAACACCGCAAAGACCAAACAGATGGTGAAGGACTTTAGAAGGAGCAGGCCACATTTGCAGTGTGTGATCATTGAGTGAGACGCCGTGGAGGTTGTAGAGAGATAGAAGTACTTGGGTCTAGATGTATAAATATATTGTAAGGCCTAAATTGTGATCTGAACAACACGAGGACTGAACCCGGGAGGACTGAACCAGGTCTGAACTAGGTCTGAACTAGGTCTGAACCAGGGCTGAACCAGGGCTGAACCAGGGCTGAACCAGGGCTGAACTAGGACTAAACTAGGACTAAACTAGACCTGGTTCAGTCCTGGTTTAGACCTAAACTAGGACTGAACCAGGACTAAACTAGGACTGAACCAGGAGGACTGAACCAGGAGGACTGAACCAGGAGGACTGAACCAGGAGGACTGGACCAGGAGGACTGGACCAGGAGGACTGGACCAGGAGGACTGGACCAGGAGGGCTGGACCAGGAGGGCTGGACCAGGAGGGCTGGACCAGGAGGGCTGGACCAGGAGGGCTGGACCAGGACTACACCAGAGCTGTACCAGGACTAAACTAGACCTGGTTCAGTCCTGGTTTAGACCTAAACTAGGACTGGACCAGGAGGACTGGACCAGGAGGACTGGACCAGGAGGACTGGACCAGGAGGACTGGACCAGGAGGACTGGACCAGGAGGACTGGACCAGGAGGACTGGACCAGGAGGACTGGACCAGGACTAGAACTTGGACCGCCCACGTTTCCCGCTGGTTTACACAGTCTCCCCACTCACCGCTGCTGATATCACAGTGATTTTAGCAAATTTGTATGAAGAAAAACAAAAAACCCACCACTTCAGTCCAGATTAAAAAAGCATTGTAACGCACATTACTGACATTTGTACCGAGTAAAATATGACAATTTTTTCTCTGTACTGCCTTAGGTTACTGCATTACGGCAAAAAGCAACACATTACAGTAATCCGTTACTTTTATAACACTTTATTCCCAACACTGTCCTTGTGTTTCCCTCTGCAGAGCCCACGACAGCGACGTGAACGAGGCCAACAAGCAGAAGACCCAGCCCCCCGCGCCCGCTCCTCAGCAGCAGCAGCCCCAGACGGCCTTCCACAGCTCGGGCCAGACCTCCAGCGTGGGCCCTTACCTCCACCGCCCCAACCTCCAGTACGCCCAGGCGGTGTCCCAGCCCGCCCTGGCCCCCTCCGCTCACCGCCCCGGGACCGCCTACATCAACCACCCGCCCTCCTCCACCGCCTCTGGCCCCCAGCACAGCAGCACTCAGCCCGTCACCGCCGCGATCGAACCCAAAACGAACGCGGCGAACAGGGCGTACCAAGTCAGCATGCACTACTCCTGCCCCGCCCCCTGTTTTGAGAGGTGAAGCCGATTTCAAGCCATTATTTGGAAGAATTGGAAGATATAAAGGAATATATATGGGTTTCTTAAAGTTGCACTGTGTAACTTTTTGGAGGAGGATGCCTAAAGTGTCACCATTTGTCAATAAACGTAAACATGTTCATGAAAACGAGAACAACGACAGCATTACAGGTCAGATCTCATGTTTAAAATGAATGTTTTTCAAGGGATTTTTGAGAAACATACCGTATTTTTCAGACTATAAGTCACACCAGCCAAAAAATGTGTAATGAAGAAGAAAAAATAAGTTGCACCGGACTGTAAGACGCACTTTTTGGGGGAAATTTATATTATTTAAATCAGAGACCAGGAACCAACATTTCAAAGTCAAGTTCTAGTAATAATAACACTAGAAGAGAGAACAACAAGCTGTCACATATGAACTTTTATTCAGATAAACTATAACATAAACAACAGAACAAGTTTAACAAACTCTCCATCTCACTCCAAATCATTAAAGCCATTCAATTCTTCATCCTCTGTGTCACTTCTGAGCAACTCCTCGACCTCCGGAGGTAAACAGAGCGCCGCTTCCTCTTCTGTGTCGCTGTCGTCAGACTCGGCATCAGTTCGTTAGAATTATTCCGGCCTTTCTGAATCCCGACAAGATGGTTTCGGTGCCACTGAAGTCCAGGCTTTGTCGATTCATCCAGTGACTTCCAGGAAAGTTGCATGAAGCTGTGTTCTTCATCCCTGCCTTTTTGCCAGTCCCTCACAAGTGTCTCGCTCTCTCCAAACTTTCTTTCTGCTGCTCGATTACCATTTTCAGCTGAATATTTCTCAACTTGCAGCAGGACAGAGGCTCTTTCTGCAGGAGACATGCGCAGTAGAGCCAAGTGACAGTGGTACAGGAGGAACAGGGGCAGCAGATACTCACACACAAGACTAGAACCTATGATGTTCATTTTGTCGTCTTATATGCTTCAACTTCATGGATTCTTTTTAACTTTACTGCATTGTCTTTAAAAAGAACCCAAGAAGTTAAAGACTAGAGCCTCTCGCGGCTTCAGTGTGAAGATTTTAATATACAAGTCGCAGGAAACGCCCAACCCATGAAAAAAAGTGCGACTTATAGTCCGAAAAATACGGTAATCCTCTGTAAGTGAGATAAGGTTAACACCATACTGTGGAACATTTCGGGCGAACATCTCCATGGAGACAAACAGGTGGCAGACACTCCTCCACGAAAGTTATATACTGTAACTTTAAGGGTCTGACTACGTGAACACTTTTACATATTTTGATGTTTGTTTCATTTTTTTGTCTGCACATTTTCAAGCTACGGTAACACAACATTTACTTTTTACTTACTTTTTGTTTTTTTGAGAAGCCGGGCAGGATAAACCGATCAATGCCTTTTGTCAACGAGACAGATTTTTTGTTTAGAATATTTTTTAGAAAATACACCAGCCATTTATGCTCCCAAAATAATGAATTCTTAGTGCAAAGTTTACAAAGCGCAAACCACCGTAAAACCTTTTTCTAGCAAGTAAATTAGAAAAAAAGATTAGTGGTGCGTGTTTAGAGATTGCATTAAAATTTTGATCTTTTTTCTACTTTTGTTAAAACGTTTTCTAGGAGGATGTGGTTTGTAAAGACGATGTAGAACCACTTTCCTCACAAAATTTTGGTTGTCTTTAATTTAGTGTTAGAATTGTTGTAGACCAAGAAGACCCAATTGGGAGATTTGTATTCCAATTAACGTGTGCTTTAACGTAGAAAAAAAAAAAAGATGGCATACGATATAATTAGTCAGAAAATCTTTCCAAAGCATCATATTTTGACACGATGGAAATTTTTGGTGCCTTGTTTACACACCTGGGCCTTGGGTGCGTTTACACTCACACACAAATCAAAACTGGACAAAACTGGGACTCGTAAAGCTCCGTTCACACATAATTTCTAATAAATTTACGGATACAAACTGCTGGATGCTGATCTGCATTTACACATGTGTCAGACCCAGAACATTTCCAGGTCTGTGTGGTATTTGGCTCTCTGCGTTTTCACATTGCAACGCACTTTAACGCAATTTTTATGCACAGTTTTTTTCCACATTAGTTCGTATTTGAGTTGTTTTCGTTGTGGATGCAGAGTTCGTCCGCACTAATCCCATTGAGACGGAACGAGCACAGATCTGAGCCGATACGCTGAAGTAGGTCTATGCGCCGCGAAGTAATTCACCGCCAAAACGCGAAGAGGCTAGAACACAGGTGTCAAACATACAGCCCGGGGGCCAGATCCGGCCCTCCAAGACCTTTAATCTGTCCCTCGTCTGATTTTCTACAAAAATATTTTAATTCTATTTTTTATTGAAATCTTGTTAATTTTCTGCGGTGTTTATCACAGCAGCGTCTCCAGGATACTCCACTCCACTCGTATTTCACTGAGTCGTGTCCTTTAGTCCGACAGAAGCTGAACCTCATCAGTGCACAATAGCGAGCTGTTTTTTTGAGAGTTTAGTTTATGCAAATGAGCCGTGTGGTTTTGAGTTTGTTTCTGTAAAACGTAAACACATATGAGCAAAGCTGTGTGGACATGGAAGGCTTGCGGACTCAGGAATGACTTGTCTGGACGCAAATCGTTTCCGATACGATGATTCATTTCAGTGTAAACGTAGCCTAAGAGATGTAACTCAAAACGCATAACTCTTTTTTTTTTTTTGTCCAGTCCAAATGTAAACACGATTTTGTCACAGCTGTGTCATACGTGGGGACCTGCAAGTTGTGACTTGAACTCGAGTCAGACTTGAGTCACTACTTTTAGGACTTGAGACTTGACTTGATAAAATAGACAAAGACTTGGGACTCGACTTGGACTCGAAGGTCAGTGACTTGGGACTTGGCTCGGACTTGAGGCCTGTGACTCGAGAAGCCCTTTTAAATCTGAATTCTTTCTATTCTGACCGTAATGATTCACACTAAGATCTTGTCAAGACATTTAAAAAGAAAAAAATTACATTTCTACAACTATTATAAACTCTATAAATACTCATATATAAATGTACTTTTAAAAAATCACAGTATAAAAAAGGAGCGAGCAGTTTTTTGGTGAATGGACATATATTCTAGCCTCTTAGCGTTTTGACGGTGAATTACTTCGCGGGTGCACAGATCTACATCAGCGTATCAGCATTTTCAGACGTCCACACTGTGCCGGATCAGATCTATGCTCAAATGAATTCGTGGGAGCTGGCGGCACCAGATCGTTCCATCTCTGGAGTCAGATTAGTGCGGACGAACACTGCATCCACAACGAAAACGACTCGATTACGAACCAGTGCGGACGAGGCCTAAATTTAGTGGAACGTAACCAGGAAACTAGGCGGTGTTACTGGCAATTCCCTGGCTTTATTCAAACATAAGCTTTCCCTGAATATTCCCAGTTATTTACGAGACAAATTTCCAGATCAACAATCCGGTTCTGGGTTTATTCACACAGGATTATTTTCTGGCAAAATTCAGGTAAATTTCCGGCTTCTAACTCCATGTGTAAATTGGGCTTGACTTGGAACTAAACTCAGACTTGACCTGGACTAAAACAAAGTCAAACCAAGCGTCCATTAAATCTAAAACCACGACCGAACCAGTGTAAACGCTCCCTTAGATTCCATTTGTTTTTAATTTGATCAGACTGGATAAGTTTAGCGCTGCACTTTGAAACGATGTGCAATAATAAGTGTCTGTGAAGCGCTTGCTTTTTGGGGGAGCGATGATGAGGATAATAATAATATCCGGGATTATAATGGAGGTGAGTAGGGTAACTATGCACCATCGAGAACAGTGCTGTGTCGTTTTGCCGTGCTGCAGACCAAAAAGCCCAGTATTATTTGAACCGAGACGACCTCCTGAATGTATACGTCGTGCCTAGAGCCGCTTAAGGCCGTTGTGATGATGTTGATGAACAATGGGAAGAACTTGATGTAGAAGGTAAAGTAGCACAGTTTATTTAGGTGTTCTGTACCTAGATTTTTGCTTAACTTTTGTTTTTCTTGATGAGTGTTGTGTGAGAGAAGAATTTGAAGTAGAATGTAGTCCTCGAGATGTCACGATTTATTTGGAAAAAGAAAAAAATGTTGCTCTTCTGAACTCAGAGGATTTCAGTCGGTGCTGTGCACTCGGAACATTATAGTTTTAATAAAATACATTTCTGTGTTGAACTGATGCATGTGTCTGTGTGTTTTACTTCACTTGTAACAGAGGGGGAGGAGCTACAGGAGCCACACATTGTGTTTTCATTGCTGCTCCCACAATCTGGTAGCTTGATTCATCAGCCAATTTTACTTCATAGAAACTGTCTGACCTCACAGCGTTAGAATTCATTCGCTCAACAGTCGGCAGGTACTTTCTTCATTTAATCAGTCGCTGCCATTTGGTCGTGACGTATGTAATGCGCCGCTAACGTGGTTAATTGGTATATTAAGCTTTTCCCAAATCCCGTAGGAAGAAGGACAATAACGTGTTTCCCCTTGATAAAATTCACCAAACATTCCCTTTATTCAGGTTTTAAATCCTCGATCTTTGGAAATCGTCGCCAACACTGAATATATTACTCTTCTCTGATTGGCTGGTGCCCGAACTCGCACTTCTGTGGTTTTTGCAAACTGTCTAATGTATTCCGATTCCTGATCCAGTGTTACGACCCCAGGCCTTAATTTGTCATTTGTTTTGTGCGTTTTAAATTATTTTGGTGGAACACCTTGTTTCCTGCTGTGGGAGCCCTGGCTCGTGATTGGTGGGGCAGGTCTACGCCCACCTCACCTGCAGCCACCGCCCCCTATTCAAGAAGATTACCTGCACTGGTCACCCTGCAGCTGAATCACCTCACCATACTCTGGGTGCTCAGTCACAGTCCTGTTGCAAGCAAAGAGCTTTTTGAAATGCTTCATTATCCTCTTCTTGTCACAGGGCTCAGAGATGCACTGTGGTCAGGGTCTTTCTGCTGTTCCCTCACCCAAACGAGCTGCGTCGAAACACCTCGTCACTGGAGAGAAATGAAGTTGAGTGGAGACAGTAGGTGGCGCCTGCCTGGCTCACGACTCGGATGAGCAGAACATGGGATAGTTGATGAAAAATTAGGTCCATTGCCATACAATTTGACGAAATAAAACAAAATTTACCTTTTAAAACGCAGGTGTCAAACATAAGGTCCGGGGGCCAGATCCGGCCCTCCAAGACCTTTAATCTGACCCTCGGCTCATTTTCTACAAAAATATTTAAATTATATTTTCTATTAAAATATTGTTAATTTTCTGCGGTGCTGAGCATATCAGCGTCTCCAGCGTCTCTGTACGTGGCCCCTCCCACCAGAGCAGCACAAATGAAGACTTGTCTCTTTCCAAACGCTCTTAAAGGACGATCGTTTTGACTGTTGACCGTGACACCCTCATCAGAAAAATGTCCAACAGTGAGAAAAGTGGAGCCGAGTGCAGGATTTTCCAAGAAAAATTGATTTATTCCTTTTTGCATACAAATTCATGTTAAAACATTGTGTTGAAATTGCGTTTTTCTTCAAGTTTCTGGTTCTTAATAATATAATATTTTGTAAAAGAAAGAGTTCATCAATTTAAAAAGATTTCTGTAATAGATTTGTGTTTCTCTGCACAAATATTTAAACTTATTGCTATTTTTGGGGTTTATATGACATGAGTTTTCTGATCCGGCCCCTTTGGGATCAAAGTAGGTTGGATACGACCCCCTGGACCAAAATGAGTTTGACACCCCTGTTTTAAAGTCTTGAAAATGTTGCAAATGATTTTATTTGGCTGACTTGTCCTGTGTGACATTTATCAGTGAGTGACTTTTCTAACAATATTAATGAAAGTTCAAGTTTTAGCCAGTAGAGGTCACTGTGCACCAACACTTTAACATTTCCCTTCGAGCCAGAGAATGAGATGAGTCTGATTCTTTGAGCAATCTGTAAAGTAAACTAAACAATCACTCCAAGCAACATTTTAGCAGGAGAGGGAAGTAAATAATGATCATATTACTGTAACTGAGTAGCCAAGATTCTTTTAGGTAACTAAAAGGTAGTAAAAATAAATGTTGAAAGTTGTAAAATAAGTTATAATTCACTTGATTGTAATTGCAACACACTATTCTCTTTAGTGTTAAGTAATGTTCAGTGTTTGATCCTGGAAAGTGAGACAAAGCTGCACACTTACTCCCAAACTGATTTTAATGACTCACAACGTTTCCATCAGTGGATCTTCATCAGGTCATGTGTGTGTGTGTGTGTGTGTGTGTGTGTGTGCGCCACTCCCATATAAACTTTGGATTGTTTGGCCAGTCCAAAAGTGAATCACACAACTCAATATATAACAAAATATATAGTGTAACATAAACCACTACCCAAGTCCATAAACCACATGTATCATCGGGCAAGTAAATCACATTAAAAATTGTGTTTCGTTTCATGTTCTTGATTCAGACCACTAGAGGACAGTGTTTTTAAGGAATAAATATAAAACCTTTCTCTTCTTGGGAGCTTCACCTGTTCTGTCCAGTCTCTCTCTCTAAAATCTTCAAATCAGGCAAGAAATAATGGACTCAGACTTGAATTTTAACAGCCACATCAAATCAATAACATCTACAGACTTTTACCATCTAAAAAACAGAGCAAAAATCAAAGGTTTACTGTCTAAATCAGACTTGGAGAAACTTATCCATGCGTTTGTCTCCAGTAGGTTAGATACTGTAATGTTCTGCTCACTGGTCTCTCCAAACGAGCTGTGAGACGCTGCAGAACATCCAGAACATCCAGAACGCTGCAGCTCGGGTCCTGACTCGAACTAGGAAGTACGAGCACATAAGTCCTGTGCTCAGGTCTCTGCACTGGCTCCTGTGGCTCAGAGACTTTAAAGCAGCTCTGCTTGTACAAGTGTCTCCATGGCCGAGCACCAAAGTCCATCTGTGACATGTTAGTGTCATATGAACATCTCACACTCTGAGGAGCTCAGGGACCAACTCCTGCTGGTGCCCAGAGTCACGACTAAACAAGGGGAGTCAGAGTTTCAGGTTCATGCAGCTAAAACCTGGAACAGTCTGAACATGTGAGACAGACTCTTCTGTGACGCTGTTTAAATCCAGACTCAAAACATTTCTGTTTAACTGTGCAAATAACTGAAAGGTTTTCATTCTGCACTCTTCTCTCCAATTTATGTCTCTCTTTTTTTATTTTAAGCTTCATGATTATTTATGTTTTGATTAGTTTTTATTATGATGTTAATGTATTTCTTATTCTGTAAAGCACTTTGAATTACTTTGTGTACGAATTGTGCTGTACAAATAAACTTGATTTGCCTTCTGTCCCGATATATTTAAGAGAGGAGATGGTGCTGCGTTTCTATAAAATGGGCAGCTACAAAAGTCTCCATTTCTAATATTCCTCCTATGTTCAGATATTCGAGTCTTTGATGCTCTAGATCATTGTTTCCCAAAGACAGGATCACGACCCTCAGGTGGGCCGCAAGAGATTTTTTTGGGTCGCCTTGTCGTTCTGTCGTTCGTTTTAAAATGCTAAAAGTGGCTTTTAGAAACGCAAATGTGTGGACTTTATTGTATTTTTGCAATTTTATTGTACATTTGTGTAATTTTTGAGGTGTAACTTTTCTTTTAAGACGCCTTTTTGACATCTGACAAAGGGACTATCGATGCAAATTAGCTCTTATCAGTGAACTCGGGCACATTTACATGTTGATTAATGTGCATTGTCCCTTTTCAAATAAATAAATAAATAAATAAAATAAACGTAGCTCTGCAATATACAGTTCTGACACACGAGGGAGCTAGTGAGTCAGTGAATCCTGTCTGTCTGCTGCCCTGAGCGAATGTTCCTGCAGCTAAATTGGAGAAATGCAGCTCGGTTGTCCAAAAAGAAGGTGATAAATCAACAAAGATCAGTGCAATTCAGGGAAGCGAGGAAAGTCAAGTGGTACAAGTGTTATTAGCACAGAAAATACAGATGAAAATGAGGATAGTATTGACGCTTTTGAGCAGAGATCAGAGCCTCCAGCAAAGAAAAGAAAATTACCAGCAAGGCCGTACAAAGATTTTTTATTTTTTTGAATTATGGCTTTATAAATTGTGCAGGTCCTAACCAGGATGCAAGGCCAATGTGAGTCATCTGCTGCGAAAAACTGGCAAATGAGAGTCTGAAGCCTAAACTAAACACTGCACCTCGACTTAGCGGACAAACCCTTAGATTTTGTTGAAAGAAAAGCACAGGAGATTAAAACATCAGCAAACGTTCTACGGAAAAATGTCGCATTAGATGACAAAGCCCAGCTCGTCTCTGTCATTGTCAGAGTTGGGAAGGTTATTTTTAAAATGTTTTCCCCTACAGATTACAGATTACAGACCCCAAAATGTAGTTTGTAACGGAATCCATTAAATTACTTAAAGTGAGTAATGTAATCTGAATACTTTGGATTACTTGATATATAAATAAAAAGCCCAGACTTTACATAACTGTATTAAAAATATTTTTGATAGAAGACGAAGAGACATGTCCGCAAAGCATGGTTTAGCCCTGTTAAATCCTGGTTTAGTCTTGGTTTAGTCTTGGTTTAGTCCTGGTTTAGTCTTGGTTTACACCTGGTTTAGACCTGGTTTAGTCCTGGTTTAGTCCTGGTTTAGACCTGGTTTTGACCTGGTTTAGTCCTAGTTTAGTCCTGGTTTAGTCCTGGTTTAGTCTTGGTTTAGACCTGGTTTAGTCCTGGTTTAGTCCTGTTTTAGTCCTGTTTTAGCCCAAAATGTGAAAACAGGAAAATACCACCATGTAATCCATTTATTTCAACAAAGTAACTGTAATCCAATTACCACTCACTGAAACAGTAACTGTAACTGAATACAGTTACTCATAATTTGTACTCTGATTACATAACTCAGGTACATGTAAACTGTTACTCCCCAACACTGGTCATTGTTTTAAAGGGTTTGGCATTATAAGTACTTTTTATTTCAGCCCTTTCAGTCATGATCCATGTGGTTGTCGTTTATGTTTTGCTTTGTTTTGTTTTGTAGTGATGCAAAAATGAAAGAATAAAAAACTAAACTAAAACTAAAGCTAAAACTAAAAAACTGTGTTTTTAGAAAATACTTTTCTCTTTACAGTTGATAAATGCAGCGCTTAATTTTACAGGAACAAAATGGAACATGTCTCT